ATTTTAAAGATAATTCATGTCGAACACTGAAAGATTTTACAACTATTAGGTGTGAGTGTAGTAAGATTTTACTATACTGCCAGGTGTGAGTTTAGTAAGATTTTACTACTGCTAGGTGTGAGTGTAGTAAGATTTTACTACTGCTAGGTGTGAGTTTAGTAAGATTTTACTACTGCTAGGTGTGAGTGTAGTAAGATTTTACTACTGCTAGGTGTGAGTGTAGTAAGATTTTACTACTGCTAGGTGTAAGTGTAGTAAGATTTTACTACTGCAAGGCAGCTCTTTGTCGTTCTTCTCCGTTGTTGCACCAGAATATTACCTTCAGGGAGGCCACCTGTACCGACACCACCTGTTTCCTGAAGCCGCAGCTGCAGCCGAAAACTGCAGCAGGATCTAGTTGAATTTGGGCTTCAAGATTCAAGTTACACAATATTTTCAATTATTAGGATATTGTAAAAAGAGTTGTTGGTTATTGAAAGGCCTGGGGGATGGTATTCTCATAATGATGAGGCAGTATTATTTTGCACGAGCCACGTTATTCAAGGCTTCAAGATTCAAGTTACACAATATTTTCAATTACTATCCAGATATTGTAAAAGGAGTTGTTGGTTACACTGTTAGAAAAACGGCGAAAAAACGGTCCCACTGGCATTCTAGTGGCCTGTCGCCCCGTGAAAATAAACTGTTTCGCTGTTTTTATTAGATGTTTTACGGTTTTCTAGTGTTAAATTAGAATAAAAACGGCGACACGGTGTTTCTTTTCACGTGCCGACCGGCCACTGAAACGCCGGTAATACCGTTAACGGTAATTTTTCAGTGAACAAGGGTAACAGTGATATGAAGGGCCTGGGGGATGCTGTTCTCATAATAATAAGGTTCTCATAATAATAAGGCATAATAATAAGGCAATTATTTTGCCACGTTATCAATTGGGTGAATTAAACTTGAAGAAAATTCATGATATGAGCGGAAGAGGTTTTTCTTCTGAATAAATAGAAACTTACTCTTTAAGTATATCCTTTGCTTAATCTAGTTTCTTGACTGTAATGGCTCCTTAAAATATCGATTTTTTGTTTATTTCATTGTAGAATTAAGTTTGCTCTACTGAAACACAATAGCCATTTGGCTAATTAGCCTTGAGTAAGCGTGTCATACTAGGTGCGGAAATTCGTTTAATGGATAAAAGCTGAGACGAATTACGCAAATCAGCCAGCAATGTGAAATCTTAGATTTTTCCAAACTTTAGGTATCACTTATTTTACCCCGATGTTGATTGCACGTGTTGCATTTCTGATGGTGTTGGGTTTTTGATTGCACATTTTCTGGACAGCATTCGTCCCTAAAATTCAGAACTTTGTTAAGCTTCAGGTAGATGGCTGGGCTTATACGAGTATTTTCGAAAGTTCTGGAATTTAAGGCTCAATTTGTTGAAAAATTAACTATTTGTTTAACTGAATGTTAATATGCGGATCTGTACAGCCTCCGAACGTATGTGTCATAAACATTTCAAATTGATGCCAAAGTGATCGCAAGCAGAGGCGAAGAGCACGTGATTTCTTTTGAAAACGTTACCCGCGTCAGGTAACGTGCGTCTCTATGATGAAGGTTACATGGTTTGCCACAACGCTTAAAATGCGTGCATATACGAGCTGTGAAGAACCAATGTTTTCAAGCGAATTTTGCGGGGTATAGGAACGGTTGGCAAAGCTCCAAAACTCAAACAGTGCGAACCTTGCTGAGAAATTTACTAAGAGTGCAGATTATATTAAGCTACTGCAACTTTACTATTATTCATTGATTCCAATTCATGACATATCACAAGCAACAAGTGAGAAAGTCAACATTTTTAAAATAAGATGCCGCGTGTAAGATCTCTGTTTAAAGGTCATTAGCAGTAGACTTGTATTTCTAGATATATATTCATTATTACTGGGTGTAATTAAACGTTAATAAATCGATGAACATTTAATTTTAAAATTTCTCTTATCATTTATGTGTTTACCTAAAGTTGAATTTGGCTGGCTTATGAACGGCAATGTTTTGAGTGCGAAAACGCTAGTTTTTTAATTTATTTGGGCATTTACAAACTTTGTAATCGAACTAAATTTTGAACGTCTAATAATTAAAGTTTGCCGATATTTGAGTTTCGTTTACCTTTCACTATTGTCAGTTGTTGCCGTATATAAGGAACAATAACATTAGAATTATGTGTTTTTGCATTTATCCATTTGGCAACTAAGAAATGGTCAGTCAGCAACATAATTATCGTTTATTAGCTCAATAGAAAAAAAATCGCCTAAATTTGATGCAAGATATGTAAGCTAGTAGGCTATTGCAAGTATTTCTACAGACTGTAAGTTACAATTTCCTGACTTGAAGTTCAACGGACGTTAAGGGAAGGAAGCACATTCGCTTCCGATTGCATAAGAAGACGGACTTCTCCGTTTCCTATTTCAAACGTGAAAGAACTCGTGCATTGCTTATTTTCGAAGATGTGCAGTCTATTCAAAGAAATTATTGGTTCCATAAATAATACTATTGATTTTCCCCGTTTGATAAAGTTACGCTTCCTATTTCTTGCGGTAACCAGTCTTAACTTATTGGTGATGCAGGCACGGTATTGATTGGGGGTTATGGTAACGCACAATGGCTGTTTTAGCGTTCCTGTAGTATTAATGACGTAAGAAATATCGTGAGTTACCCAGAAGTTCCCTAGCGATTCACTTGTTTACGGCAAGGAAAAACCCTCGTTGGCACCTTCCGGGATTTCATGATACGATTAGAAGGTTTCCCCAAAGGCGAACTGATGACGTACGATGACGTCATAATATTGATGCCTGAGTCACTGGATTGCCAGCGCTACGCAACCGTACCTCGAATAATTCAATCTCTCAGAATGTTGTATGATTTTTCTTCAAACTGTTACCTTCTGATAAGGAATATTTTGCTAAGAATTAGTTAGCGAGTACCTTTGTTACTTACTTAGTTAGAATGTAACTAGCAACTGTAGAATCCGTTTCTTTTGCAAGTTGCCGGTAATCTCTAATAATCTTAATGGAGTGCCAACAACTGATCACTGACATTGCCTGGCAATGTCTTAAATGAGAGTTATATAAAATATGAGCAGCATTTTACGATTGAAAAACTTAATTTCAAGTATATCGCACAATAATTTAAATTCTGATACCTACAGGCACCGGTAAAAATTGCAAACATTGGATATCTGGCAGTATCTGGCAATGTTTTGCTGATGTGGGCCACCACGCTCAGCTTGCGTACTACCGCCCAGTTAACCTTGACCCTGAAAACCACGCACTGGATTCAATGAAAGCGAAAGTGTTGCCAACTCTCGACGGATGGCACACATTGTGCTTGTTCAGCTGCTATCTGCTGTCTCTGAAAGGCAGGAGGCGGAATTTAACAGCTCAAGAAATATAATCTTCAGTTAGGGGAGATGAGCGTGGGAATTTGATTCTAATTTGAAAAATTGGGGGGGAATTTTTGATCTCATGAGCCAACTAAACAACGTAGTGGTTCGATCAAGATATTTAGAGGGGTGAATGATGCCGAACACTTCTTTGAATAGGCGTAGGGAAAATATAGACATGTCATAATTGCATGCGCGGTTGACTTACCGATTTTCACGAGTACTTTCCATTTCCGTTCCCGCACTTATAATTTTTCTCCTTTTGTGCGTTATATGCGTTCTTTAATAGAAGATATGTAGATAGAAGAAGAAGATATAAATCCCTTATACAAGAATTGGGAGTTGCATGCGCTTTCTTTAAGCTGGATAACTAGATAAATTAGCTACAAGGCTAGACTGGATTTGAGGAACGAGTTTTCATGAATTTTTCCAGGTCAGTCGTCTATTCTAGACAGTTCTGACGTTACCAATTCTGAACGGTTACTGAACTTATAACGTATTTTTAATTTAATCTTCAACTTAGGTAAAAATATTCATGAAAGGAAAGCTTCCATAGACACAAACAAAATAATATAACTCAGTACTCACTGCAGTGAGTGACAGAGAGCGCATTTTCTCAAAATCGACGAAAACGTGAAGTCACAGACAGACAGACGGACGGACGGACAGACAGACGGACGAACATGACGAGCACAATACCGCCTTTTTTTCCATAAATGAGAAAATGTGCTAAAAAAATAGGTGACCGGCTGTCCTTTAACTCCTGACATGCATTTTTCTGCTACAAGCTGTATTCATTTTAAGCCTCATTACCATATTTTCCTCCTTTGAACTGAAGGATCAGTTTAAATGTCCTAGTGACCTCGATATTAATGCGTACTTTAGGTGCAGAGTAAAAGTGTTTATCAGGTGATGCTTTGGTTCAAATAAAGAGTAGGATAATGATGTCGATGCTAGGAAAAATCATTATTGTAATATATAAATGAATATTCAACATGGATGCCAGAAGAATTTACTTGTGTTTCAAAGTAAAGTAGTATACACTATGCATATCGAAATTGTAAGTACATGTAATATTATGAGAGAGAACAGTCAAAGATTTTAAAAAATCGCAGTTGAATTTGGTGGGATTTTACTATTATTGTAAAACCTCCTGTACTTGATTTATCCAAATTTTTCGTTGTTAATTATATTACAATTTTTGTAACGTTTAATAGATTTATGCTATTACTGGTAACCATTGCTTTCAAAAACATTCTCTGAGAAGAAGCAGAATTTCTAATTTAACGTTTTGATGTTATGTTTGCTTTTTGCATGCGAGAAAAACAGGCCCATGGAATACGAGTGAGCTTCTGATGGCCAAAATTTAACTAATTGATAATTGTTGGGTTTGTAAAACGTATCAAAATTCATGATGATGATCTTGGACACGACTCGGTCACAATGAAATAAAAAATCAATTTTTTGGAAGAAGATCTCTAGGTGAAAAATGGTATTGGATTTCGTGAAACTTTCAAATATCAATCATGAAATATTTTAAAGCTCGAGGAACTGAGACGTAAACATATTGCAGATCCGCGCCTATGGAGCAGCAGCGATCTTGCCCAGTGGGCAGAGTGGATGCGCCGGGAGTTCCGCATCCGGCGCCTCGAAGTCTCTGCGCTCCCAGAAACTGGTTGGTTATTCTTCACGAAAGTTTAGTACGATTCATTAATGTATTGGTAATTGGTATACTCTCTAAGGTTCAAAAAGATTTCTAAAGTTCCAAGACGTTTGAGTGAATAGCAAGTGAGAGTTAAATTACTTTGTCAAAACAAATTGACTTGTATATGTATTGATTGGGGTTGGTACATTACAGTTATTTAGGTCTGAGTGTTTCGGACGATGATTTTGTACAGTTCATATTAATTAATTAAGCCCAAATGCCACTGATAATTGATCGATGGATGTGTGGAACGGCATCATGACACGGTTTTATTTTATTGTTTGTCCAAATAATTCTTCTCGTTCTGAATCAAATATTCATGCTCTCACTTTTCCATCTTGACTAGAGGACCAACTTTAGGCTTCAATTTATTCACTTCCATACCATCATTTCGTCAGAATTTGTGCAGTTTGACCAAAAACATTCTCCTCACTTGATTATCACGTCATTAATTTTATTTGTTCATTTCTTCACTCCTAACAAAATTACATTCCATATAAAATATGCCTTCATCCATATCAAGAATGCATTTTTAATTTTCTATGTTCATTTCATCAATCTTTCCCAATAAAGTTACATTCCACATAAAAACTGCCTTCATATGCCTTCCTAGGCTTGTGCTGTACAAACAATGTGTGCATTGCTTCTTCCATATCAAAAATTTTTTCTAATTTTTTTTGTTCATTTCATCACTCTCTCCTAACAAACTAACACTCCATATAAAAAAATACCTCCATCTCGTCTACCACACGTACGTCTGGCAGGCTCGGCTTTATGTAGCCTCAGCGTCCGCCGCATCAGACGGCTGGTGGGCGGGGGGCGGACAGGACGCCTCGTCACCAAGTATCTCGAGTGCCAACTGCAGGCGTTCGGTGCCACGCTGCCGCGACCCAATGATGACACTCCATCGTCTACTAGCAGAGATGATCAGGATGATGACGAGGAAGATGGTGACGACGACGTCGATGATGACGACCGTGAGTAGCTTATTGCTTCACTCAGAGATAATGAACTTTATGCTGATGGCAATTAACTTTCTGCCGTTGTGTGGCTCGTCCTGACCCAGTTTGGCGTATCGGTGTGCAGAAAGTGTGTCGATATTGATAAAAAATATCATATGCATTGCTGAATTTTTGTTGATCATTAGGTGGTAAAGTGGACATTTATGTAATAATTATGCCCGCTTGATTACTTGATAATTTTTACCAACGTACGTGTTTTTTTTAGACGAAACTTCATAAATTATGAGCTCCCACATTAAAAAAATAAAAAACTTTAAAACTAAACCATTTTCATTAAATTTAGGACAAACCCTTAGGAAGCCCCATAACAGTATTAATATCTTCAAACAAGTTTGATGTTGGTTAAGTGAAATGCCTTTGAAAAAGCAGCACCAAAGCACAAAAGCTGTTCATTGTTCAACACGCTCATCCCGGCACGTCGAAGCAAAATCGCGCAAATAATTTATCTTATTGCTTTTGATAGTTCAAATTTACAAAATTTAAAATAACGGTAGTCAGATTCAAACGTTAAACTTAGACGAGAAATATATCGAAAGACTATTTTGGACGAATACGTCAATTTACAAGTTTGGAAATTAACAAGCTGCTGAAAATGTTTTCATGAAGTCCCAAAATCGATACAATCAATAAGTTTGTAGAAAAAAAAAACAACAGTAACAGAAAAACAAAAAAGAACGTAACAAACAAGCAGAAATGTTGTTTTGAGAGCGACAGCCCCAATACACCTGCGGGGGTCAAACTCTTTATGATGTTTTGATATATTATACTTGGAGTTTCAAAATTCGAAGTGGTTGAAGTCAGTTCAAAATGTCAAATCCAAAAGAATTTTGCAAAATATAACTTATATTGCGGCTTTATACTGGCTTCAAATCTCTACAGAAATCACAAAGATGAGTTAATTTTTGTTTCTGTCAGCATTTAATTTTAATTCCGACAAATGTATATGATATTTTGGTTCTAATATTTTCTGCAATTTCTGTTAATTAGCGTGTTAGGAATGAGGCTATCTATTTTGAAGTCACTTGTTCTACTTCGTTTTCAGGCTGAAGTACAACTCAATTGAGATTCTAGCACGGATAATTGTAATCAGTTAATTGTCAGCTGATCCATTCCGGATCAGATCTGGAGAAGTTAAATAACTTCTGGAAACTGCATTGACATTGAAGCTCAAATCTTGTGTTAAATGTATTCATATTTATACGTATAGGGCGAAGCATGTGACCAATAAATTTGCAGAAAAAGTAGGTATAATCATTTATAGAAATAATAATTTTTTTTTCATGCAATAATTAATGAAGAGTTTAAAAATGAGCAGTCAGTTTGATTAAAAGAGTTCTGACGTGTGAAAAGCAAGCGATTGAACAAGAAACTAAATTAATTCAACGTAGTGATTTGAATTTTCGACCGGTGATTGCTTCAGCAACTGTTGTTAGTTAGCAACAGTTGCTATAACGCCTAAACTCGAGAATTTACTTTTATAAATTGGGGTCTGTATACAATCCTGCAGGATACAAAAGTTAAACTATATTGCATCTAATAATGGTTCTTGCGCAATTTATTACTTCGGTATTTACACTCACTGACCCATGCAGTCAGAACGATGATAAGAAAACCTAAGGTGTCCCAAATACTTAGCTCTGACAGTGTCCGGTACAAATACTATAGCTCTGACAGTGTCCGGTACAAATACATTAGCTATCACTGTGTCTGATGCGAAAACTCAAAACCAGATCCGGTAGTTAGCACGTACCCTCCGTACAAAAATATATATGACGCTGAAAATAAATGATTTGATTATCGGTTGAAACGATTCGTTAATCATGTGTGATCGAGGAACTATATATTGATTAAACACGAGCGTTTTACAACGCTCGTTTTTTTTGTCAGTCAATTTAACGTTTTTCCCATAAAAGCAATCATAAATTACTGTTGAACGTGAATTTGTTTGCTTATTTTTAACAGTATTTAACCGTGGAAGTTTGGACTAAAAACACCTGCGAAGCGGAGTAGGAAAATTATGCTGGCAGAACACCTGTTGGGAAATTGGCGAGATCTGATAAAATTTTATCTATATTTTCAAATCATTTTAAAAATAGGATTTGTCTAATAAATGGATTCCACAAAAAGGTAGAATACAGCAGAAGCAAGTATAAAAATAAAATATATAAATAAGAAATCCGAGCATGGATTTTAGAGAACTTCTGCGACCTGAGAACTTTCGGACGCGAGTTTGATCCAAGACGAGCTCATCGATGGGCAGAGCGATGGCAGTCGGTGATGCACGATGCTCGTTAATCAGGTCGTGAGACTTGAGAGCTCGGCCTCAATTTAAGGCCTCTGAGCAGTGAGTAAAATCACTCACGAGCGTTTAAGATAAGGCGAGAATCAATTTCGGAAGGAGGTTGAGGGGGCGGCAGCCGCTAAGTCCTGCCGCCTCCTTATTGATGGCCTGATTTAGGGAGCAGTGAGAGGCAACTTGAAGTGAGGGAGGGAATTGGAAAACCATTTTAGGGAGCATGTGTTTGAGAGTCATTAAAATGACCTTAGATGAGCTCAAATAAGAATGTAATGGGCTTGGATTAAATGTCATACAATGACGATCAGCAAACGTTGAACTTTAACTTCCATTGTGTTGTGCACGGGTAATGTAAATCTTGCAATTAACAACACTGTACGGAGTATTTTCAGTGATGCTTTGAACAACATAAATTGTCGAGATTTGATTATTTAAAACTTGTCTTTAACACATTTATTTGGTTCTATGTTAGTAAACAGTAATAATTTTCAGTTTTAATTTTTTCGAATCCGTTACATCACCCACCGAGAGAACCTAGCCACCACTAGCAATTGATAAATTGAATGCTTAAAAAAATATTCGAGGAATTGCTCGACATTTTCTGAAAATATTTGAACAAAACATGTGTATAGTGCGATTTCTAAGGTGTACTCGCAAAATGTAAAAAATTTAACGATTGCAAACTAGTTTTTTAACAAAGCTGTAACGTCTAACGTAGGCATTCGATGATATTCTTAAAATTATATCTACATGCGTTTAAAGGCATACGAAACAATGGAAGAAGAGCTGCAATATACGAGGGAAGGGGGGTAGCGAGCGAGGGCTCAAGGTGCCAAAGTTCGAATGAGGGTCTGAGAAGCTGTTTATCGTTTAATGGCTTATGATGGTTATCTCCGGCTCCAGCTCCCCTCACTCCTCGTCTCCCCTCCCTTGCCCTTATTTCTTGTTCCGCTTCAAGATCTTTCGATGCCGCTCGTTTAATTTATTTCGCAAAAGCTTATGTTGGTTAAGCTTTTAGCTATCGTGTATTCAATATGTTATCAATAAATATGTGTGAATAATAAAACATTTATGTCATAGATTTTCATTTCTTCGTAGATAGATGTAATTATTTTAAAATATATCTAATTATTCATTCGGAATATCCATGGAATACAATAATGATTTATGAGAAATAATTTGCTATTTAACTGATTAAGCATCAAAGACACCTTGATTAAGACTCCTTCAATTTATGATCTGATGAGCACAATGTATTGAGTTTTTCAGTAATGGGGCTTCAAACTTTGGTCGAGTATATTAGACATATTTTAAGTATTCATTGAATTCATTAGACATATTTTAAGTATTCATTGAATACTTAAAATATGTCTACCTCTCTAAAAAGTCGTCATTTTCAATTCATTATATTTTCCAAACGGATTTTTCATTCCTCGTCGTTTGTTCCAAGTAAAAACATCAATAACCTGGAAAAAACATCAATAACTTGGAAAAAACATCAATAACTCCAAATAAAACATCAACAAATTTTATTGAGCTGATTTTCACGGCTTGATGGTGTCATGGCGACGACTCGTGGTGCAAGATTCAATGAAACCTTCTTCCCTGAGAGCCTCGAGCTAACTCGAGTTCATTTAGAATGCAGGCCGAGGCTTGGTAGCAGCAGATACCATCAGCTTATTGTCTTACGTCTGGGAAACAATCGTAAGCGAATTTCCGAACATCAGATAACCTTTGCTGGGGTAGATTTCACGCCACTGCTGTCCCGAAGACCTATTGAAATGTAGCAAGTCTGGTAATTGTTTCGCCTTGTTCATTGAGCTCCCTCGAGACAAGGCAGGCAAGACGTTTAAAAAAATTTCCTTTGTTTCACAGGGAAGCTTGCGATGCGAATTGAATTTATTGAGGTAATCTAAACGGAATAAAATTAATTATTACTTTAAATCAAATTAAAAACTAAACTAATTTGTTGAGAATTAATTCTCACACTTTCAAAACCATTCATGAAAATTTTATTTATTAATTTACCTATTGCTAAAAGCTAAATAAGAAATGGTTGTCATGTATTTAGGAGAAACAAGATTCGCACAGACTCGGTACACTTTATTGGGAAGTGTGGGGCTCAGAGTTTCATTAGGTCCGTGCACTCAATCAAGAAAGAATGCTGCTTGGCTTACTTGGAACTTTCCTCGTATCCTTCCAGTGACAAGAGGCTGTGATGATTTCTGGGCTACTGGTTCTTGATTTTCATGAAATTTTTTCTTTCTGAGTGGCTTAAGTTTATAATATATTATCCCATTACTATGAGAAATAATATTTCAAAGCAAGGATTAAATTAGTGCTTGTTAGTTTATCAATTCAATTGAGTTTTTTTTATTTGACAGCATAACTTTTCACTGCAACATGAATGAAAGTAGAAAGTAGAAATTTGTACCAGTAGAAGATAAAAAATTTGATGACTTTAGAAAAAATTCAACTTGGTGAAATGCTTTTAAGCTGAAGTTGGCTATTGAAATTACAAAACATTATGGATCATTTATATTTCGTTTTGCGCAAATTTATCAAGGAATCCCGTTTCTTCACATGCGCTAATTTACTGATACTTTTAGCGGCCACAAAAGAATATAATATTTACCGTAAGCGAGGAAGTTGGTCGATG